CAAGTGAAAGTTTGTGAGTATGGATGTATGTTTGTTACTCTTTCACGCAAAAACTACTGAATGGATATTGATGAAACTCTACAATAATATAGCTCATACATCAGAATAACACATAGACTACTTTTTATTCCGGAAAATGTACGGTTCCCGTGGGACAGATTTGTTTTTGTTTTTCTAGAGGCGAACCTGAGCGAAGCGAGTGTGAGCCGCTAGTTTTACATAATCTATTAAGTGTGAGCGTAAATACAAAAACCTTATAGCTTTCTCAGTTGTATTTATAATTTAAGCTACACCTTTAAAACGTTTCATCTAGATTAATACGAAATGGGTTAAGAAGAGCAACGAACTAATCGCAATTCAATCAACATGACTAACGAAAAGGGGAGTTCTGATTAGTCATAAATTGTAGCCATGTCTCGTGGGAGAAGCAAAATGAAAGCAAGTGCTTTATTTTTTACAAATGTATAGTCATATATTAGACTTATTTGTTCACTAATCAATGAAACTATGTAATACACAATCGTCAAAAAGCAAACATCAGGTATGTTGTAAATAAACTAAATGTAACCAGCTCATGTCTGTTATCAGATTCAAGTAGCGCGATAAAAGGGTCGTGGCCCGTCTAGACTAAACTGAAATCTAGCTTTTGTCTAGACGTCTGAATTATTTAGGAGTGAATATACTTCAATACCTTAATATTAACTTAACGAAATAAAAGGTTTCTATTTAATAATTGTAAAAAGAAATAATTAAATGACATTGAACCATAACAGGCTTTATTTTTTAATGTTTGATATAAAATTTAAATATTTCATTACAATTTTTGTCTTACAATTAATGCTTGTATGTATGTATTCAGCCCTTTTTAACGTCCCACTGCTGGGCACGGGCCTCCCTTCAATATGAGGGGGATCAGGCCATAGTCCACCACGCTGGTCAAGTGCGGGTTGGCGGACTTCACATGTCTTTCGAAAACTTGCTAAGTTCTCTCAGACATGCAGGTTTCCTCACGATGTTTTTCCTTCACCGTAAGGCAAGTGGTAATCATGTTAGAAATGATTCGCACATGAAAATATCAGAGGTGCGAGACCCAGGATTTGAACCCGCTTCACTCGGTTTCCCAAGCAAGCGCGTTACCACTGGGCTACCACTGCCTAATTAATGCTTATGAAATATAATTTATTATATTATTTCCAATATTTTCCAACTGGTACATACTCTTATAATGTACGTATGTGGCAACGTTAAAACTGCCAAGATATGTAGGTGTTCCTCTCAACCTAACAGCACGCTTATTATACGAGTATATCTTAAAGTTTTTCAGACACTCGACTAGTGATTGCGCACTATGTATAAACATATTATAAACAAATAATTTACACTCCATTAACCATACAGTGCTTGCTCAATACACTACCGTAACTGATCATTATAATTTTATTCTATTCAAGAGTTGATACGTTTAAGTTACTTCTTTTTAACTAATAATAAAAAATTAAGCAACCCCCGATACAAAAAAAAACTTTTAACTTCATTTAAAAGTACCTACCCATTAATATTTTGACGAAGAGCGCCGTCGCATCGTTTGTGTCGGGGGTACTTAAAAGTTTTATTTTTTATTCATTCTTTTTAAACTACTCGCGGACGCTAATTCTAATAGATAATTCTCATTGAGATTATTCTTACGAACCCAAACACGCTATGTCTGCTGTAAGTTTCTGAGGAATCGAGCATCCCGCAGACTATTTGATGCTACAGCATCTTGCTCAAGGTTAGCATGTCTTGGAAATACCACCAAAGTAACAGTACAGTAAAACAAACACATCAATCGGATCTGTAAAAGTTTGTAAGACCCTTTTGTCAAGTAGGAAATGAGTAATGATCATCAAACGCCGGCACAGATATTCATAAATTAAAGCTAAGAACCATCTCGATCACGTCAGCTTTCAAACAAAAAAAAACCGCATCAAAATCGGTTCATTGGTTTAGTAGCTACGATGCTACAGACAGACACACAGATACACATACACAAACAAACGGACATGTCAAACTCATAACACCCCTCTTTTTGCGTCGGGGGTTAAAAAAACACAAAATACCCTTTCATTAGGTACCCCACTTCGATAGTTGGGTAACAATAAGTATATTAATATTCAAATCGTTCGCGGACGATTATGTACGCTCTAATAGAATTAATATTATGTACGTTAACGCTCTTTTAGCAAACATTTTAGAACTAAGAATGCAATCCAAATTATTAGAGACTAGCATGTTATCAGAATTTTACTGACGTATTAACATAAACACCCAACAATTTCCGGGTCAAAACATATTCGAATTTTTATCTATCAAGATTGATTTGGGAAGTGAGTAGGTACTCGTACTTAGTCGACTTCTAATTATATATCAGTTCGTATTTTACGGACATTTTGACTAATGAGAAATCAATATAGAAGTAATATTAATATAATTTTTAGTTTTATTTTTAATTTTAAATAGTATTAATTTTTTCATTTGATGCAAATTGAAAAAATGTCTAAAAAATTGTTTCATTGTTATAAAATAAAAATATTATATAACCCTAGCGGCTCACCCTCGCTTCGCTCGGGTTCGTCGCTAGGTACGTTTCAAATAGATATAAATAGTTATTAGCCAGCGTTAACCATATAAATTTTATTTTATTTTTTTCGTTATTTGTTCATTTCTTCTCTTTATTAAAACCTTCCGTGGACCTTAAGGAACATACGAAAATTTTTTTTAGCCAAATCGGTCCAGCCATTCTTGAGTTATGCGCTTACCAACATTTATTTTTATTTATATATAAGATAAAAGATAAGATAAGATTTGTAGTACCTGGGCGACTGAGCTTCATTCGGCGTTTTTTTTTTAGAAAAGATATAAAATTGTATTTTTTTAAAAACACACCTATTAGATAAACTTAAAAAGCTTTCATTTGATTCTTTCTAACAAAAATTAGCACTTTAAGGCTTAATATTTCACAAACGGATAGCTTAATCAAAAAATTGTTTTTAGAAGCCCGCAATATTTTTGAAAGACCTAACCAACGACCCACCACACCATGGGGTAGAAGAGTAAATATAACAATTCCGCTTTACGTGTATAGGAGGTACCCTAAATTTACTTCTCAAGATTTATTTTACCGCTTTGTCGACGTGACTAATGTGTATATTACAGATTTCTAGTACTCTGAGCTAAGCTGCGGACAGTCGTCGGACGGACGGTACGGGTATATGTATGTATAAATAGGAGGTGTAATAACAAATATCAATAATTACCAAAATATCCAAACATTAATGTTAAAATAACAATGTCATTGTTACAAGGAAACGATATTATTAAATAATCCATAATTAAACTAAAAATTTAACATAAAATGTACGATGGTCATTATTTGCCACAATCAGTGGAATTTCCATTTAGCTGAGATAAGTACTATTTTTGTGGTAACAACAAAAATATCGTACATCAGTTTCCTATACACACGACACTTAATTATTCAATTAAGATTATTGAGTTTTTAATTAATTTATTTTCTTCTGACAACAATATCATATAGTATGCAAGCAAGTCTTAACCGATTAATATATTTAATAGATTCCGATCTATGTGGTGGAACTCCTCACTCTTTTTCTAGTTTTTATTTAAAGATTATACATATTAACAAATACGGCCAAAGGATACAGTCTATTTTTAATTAAACAAAATTTATTGTCTTTTTTAATTAAGTACAAGAACTCATTTCCTGTGACAAATCAATCGAAAGTAAAAGACTTGTAGAAAATGCCATCATACGTTTGGCGGCCTTTTTCGAACTCATTATCTGACATCCAGATAATTGTATTGAAGTAGTTAATTGCTCGTATTGTTCTCCGGAACGAACCAAGTATCAAAATTTAGATAATTTTATAATAATTTTAATTAGGTATATAGGGATGTTATACCAAAATATGTCCAGACTAGAAGATTTTAGTAAAAAATAGCTTAGAAAAATAAATAAATTTATATTATTAGTTTTGTAAAGTCAAATTTATAATCGAGTGCAATTAGTCCATATAAAATGTCCACAATGATGACCCCGCAATTTTCGAATTTTTAAGAAATAGAAAATGTGCTGAAATGTGCCCAGTGTGTGCTATTATGTGCTATTTGAAAACAAATTACACAAAAAATACAATTTTATAATTTATGAGGAGGTCCTTTTTTCAAGTTTGGTTAGCTCCGACACTTTATTGTATCGAAATCGTTAAAATTGATATAATTTGTATTTCCAAGAATAGTAAAGATTATAAATCGATTTTAACTAAATTTTGTGTAGTGATTACTTATTACTCGTGTTAACATTTAGGATACCATTTACTACAGAAAAATCTTTTATTTCCACGGGAAAACACAATAACTGGTTCTATCAAGTCATTATTAGAAATGTGCATGGTACATGTCTAACGCCTACAGAAAAATCTGCATTATTCATTTTTGCTATTATTTTTATAATTATTACAATTTTAAAATATTAATTAGTAATCTATATTTAGTGTTGCCATTATTATATTTATAACCATAAAGAAAAATATAAAATATAGTTTTAGGTGAAAACAAACTTATTTATTAAAAAAAAAGACACAAAACCGAACACTTAACTTCTATTTATTAATAATTTGACAACTCGAACAATTATCACGAAATTAACCTTAACCACTAACTAAATAAGAAAAACACAAACATAAGAATTGCAATTTAAATTAACCAAGCAATCAACCGTTAATTTGAATATAAAAATAGTATACGCGCTCGTCATGAAACAACGACCTATCGTTTCGAAAGCCGAGAAGTAAATGAGCTCTGAGCGGGTAGGAAACTACTTTTATTAACGCTGTTGCATGACGTCACGAAACATATTAAAATTATCGAGATTATGCTGATACGGCCTCTCCTGACCGTGCGCCGTCCCCGGTGCACATTTTCACCACGAGCGCTGGCTAGTCAGTGGATATTGATGAGGACTCGATCTTGCCGTCTCCAGGTGGAACTCCTGGGGGAGCAGTAGCGGGAGCCGTCGAAGGCCCAGGTTGATTATCATCACGTTCATCTTCTGTAGCAGACTCTGTTCACGAGAAATACATAACAAAATATGAGTTTAATAAACAGTTGGCAAAGAACTGCCTATTCTTTCATACTTCCCGCTCTCAAGGCCCTCATTCAATTATTCACACATGTTAAAGTTTTAAGAAAACCTTTCGATCAGTTACAACTTCACCAATCGTTCAATCGTCTTCATTCATTTTCTATCAACTCATTTTATAAAAGCGAACGCGCGTTACATGCAACCTACAGACACGCTACATTTAGTAACGTGTCCGTCGGACCAAGGTCTGCACGCATAACCACTTTGCGTCTGCCGGACATGTGCCGTGTACGTATACGCTCTAATCAGACCAAGGACCGTGCACATAAATGTGCCAGCCGGACAGGGTCCGTGAACGTTCAACAAGGCCTCGGGCCCAAAACCAGACTAGAGTCTGCACACATTATGAAATATGAAAGCTGAACCAAGGTCTGCACGCATAACCACTTTGCGTCTGCCGGACATTTGCCGTGTACGTTCATAAAGAAACGCTCTAATCAGACCAGGGCCCGCTACGCACTAAATGTGTCAGATAAAACCGTATCACACATTGGAGATCATACACTCCAGACACCAGACATACGTAAGGCAGCCGTTGCCTATAGTACATCTGAAACATAACAGAACATTAAAAATGTTAAACAGTTTACCATCGAAAAATGCTGCACAGGACTCGGGACACCATTCTCCTTTCCACGGCAACATGTACTGTGCTGCGGCTTGAGTGGTCTTCCCACGGGCACCACTCAACAGTTTCAGTTCATAACGGTCACTCGGTAAAGCTCTCGTGACTCTGTATGGTCCTCTCATACCCGAGTCAAGTTTGCCTGTGGACTGTGACATTTTAATGACAAACACCAAGTCGCCAACAGCAAATACTCTAGGAGGGTGTCGGTGACGGTTAACCTGGGCATCCTGCTTGGCTTGGTTTCGACTCAGCAGGCTCGCGGCTCGACTCCGACTTAATTCTCGTCTTGCAACACAATTAGGTTCAGCTATATCCACAGCCACATCTCGAATCAGCGCACGGATCACGGGAGTGGTCGCATCAGTACCAATTAACAAATTCATGGCAGATGATTGAGTGGTTTTTTGCTTAGTAATGTTTAGTACAAGCTGAATCTTACTAATCGAATTTGACCAAGCAACATCCTTGTTGCGACTTTCAACGCGAATTAAATTTAAAACCGTCCTTATATAACGCTCGGCCTGCCCATTAGCGTGGTGCATTTCGGGCGTTATATAATGAATGTCACAGCCGAGTTCAGACAGCCAACTTTTAAAGCTAGATGCCTCAAACATACGCCCGCGATCGCATACTAGAAGTTTAGGTACACCGAACAAGGATATTGCGTTATTAATAGTGCGTTTAAGTTCACTGGTATCCTGACGGTACAAAGGATATAACAAGCAGAATTTTGTAAATGAATCTACTAACACTAATACAAACTTGTATCCGTTCGACTCGGGTAAAGGCCCGAGAGCGTCTACATGAACAGTACTAAATGGAACATTTGGTTTTTCCCAAGATGTTATTGGCTGTTCTGGGGCTCGAGGGACTCTTTTCTTGGAGATACAAATTAGACAGTGAGAAATGTATTTATGAACAAAAACTTTAAGGCCGGGAAACCAAAAGTGTTTCAGTATGAGATCATATGTCTTGTCCTCTCCTATGTGTTGGTGTTCATCATGAAAGACACGAAGAACACTTAAGCGATGACCCTTAGGAATATAACACAAAAGCCTAGATTCCTGCCCGACTGGAGTGTACCGATAATATAAAACATCGTTCTTACAGACATAGCGAGTTGAATCTAAATGCCCTTCATTAACCTTTTGTATAAGTTCTAAGGTTTCACTATCAGCAGCTTGAGCCATCTGCGCCCAGTTTATTGGCCTGTCAACGTAATTTACTTGCGCTACTGGTGGGTTTCTACTTAGATAATCGGCATGAGACATCATAACGCCCTTCCTATATTCGATAGTGAAGTTAAAGTCTTGTAAGTAGATCCACCATCGCGCGACCCGTGGCAGTAAATCTTTTTTCTTTTCGGTGGCCTTCAAAGCATTACAATCAGTAATGATCTTAAATTGAATACCGATTAAATAATGCCTGTAATGTTGTAATGCTTTGACGACCGCCAATGTCTCTAACTCATAGGAATGATAGCGGCTTTCCGCTCCCAGGGTCACCCTACTGTAGTAAGCTACCACCCTTTTGCTACCATCCCCATGAACCTGCATTAATACCGCCCCATAACCTGCGCTACTCGCGTCCGTATGCAACTCTGTAACTAACTGTGGATCGAATATAGCAAGTATAGGTTCATTCGTAAGCTGGCTAATTAAATACTGACGAACCCGTTCCTGTTCTTCACCCCATTCAAACTTTACGTTCTTTTTAGTTAATTTGGAAATACTTGCAGTTTTCGTTGCATAGTCTTTTATATATCGACGAAAGTAACCGGCTAGCCCCAAGAACTGTCTAACCTGCCTAACATTATTTGGTGTAGGTGCGTTCACCAAAGCTGCTATTTTCTGAGGGTTCGGCCTAACCTGACCATGACTAATACTTCTACCCAAATATTCTACTTCTGTAGTCAAAAACGAGCACTTTCGAAGGTTTATCGAAAATCCTGCATCGGTAAGTGTTGTCAGTACATCATGAAGTAAGTTGACACCTTCAGGAATAGACATGCTCATTAAAAGTACATCATCAATATACACAAGTACACTTCCGGCATCGATAAATCTTCGAAGGGTGTCATTTATTATTCTTTGATAAACTGTAGGTGAGTTACAAAGTCCAAATGGCATTTTAAGAAACTCGTAATGTCCCTCGGGTGTAACGAACCCCGTTAAGTGTGTACATTCGTCGCTAATTGGGATTTGATAAAATCCTGACGCCATATCTAGGCAACTAAAGTATTTAGACCCCCCAAGACGATCTATATGGTCCTCTATAAGCGGAAGCGGATAACGATCTTTTATAGTTATTCGATTTAACGCACGAAAGTCAACGCACATGCGATCCGTACCATCCTTTTTCTTAACAAGGATGATAGGGCTCGCATATGCAGAAGTCGATACCTTAATTATATTTTTGTCCAATAAATCTTTTATTAATTCGCGGACTTTTAATTTCTCTTGATGAGACAACCGATAAGGGTGATATGCAATAGGAACCTGGCTAGTTAATTTAATTTGCATCTTGCCTGTCTTCACTGTGGAAGTGGCAGTGCCAGATATCAAAAACGGCGTGAACTTATCAATTACAATCTTTAATGAATTAAAATCGGAACCTTGAAGAGATGAATTGATTTTAACAGCTTCAGTCTCAACAGAGTTAACTATATTAGAATTCGGAGTATGCATCAAATACTGACCATACTTTGATCGAACATAAATAATTCCCTCTCTATCGAGGACGTCCGTGCCTATAATTATTGAAGTGTTCATACACGTATCGGGAACGATCACGAAATCAATCTCAAGAGCGATTTTACAAAATTCAACAACAAGGGTAACAAATTCCTGAGCGACAATAGTCTGTTTACCTATACCCTTCAATACGCAATTAATTGGCTTACGTTGGCAACTAAAATACTTAACAGTGTCCGATGACATTAAGGAAATATTAAGCGCTCCGCTGTCTATCAAAACGTCTACAGGTATACCCTGTATTACCGCAGTACTAATGTCCCCAACTTCCCGACCACTAGTTACTTGTTTACATAGGTTAACATTTCTGTGATTACTGCCCTGAGTAAGAGCCCTAGATTTCGCAAAACAGACATTCTCCGTATGACCTATCTTTTTACAAAATGAGCAAGTCGGTTTCGATCCCTCATTGTCTACCTTATGTTTCCGTTTATCATCAACGGTTCTCTTTCGACATTCATTACGCATATGACCTAATTTACCACAACCGTGACACTTAAGTCGGCGAGTATCGGAACTGTTAGTAAAACTATTAGTAGCCCTACGACCCTCGTATTTAAAGTTCGGTTTAGGTTTAACATAAATAGCCAAAAACGGTACTAAATTATCTACGGTCAGATTGGCATTTATAGCAGCTGCCCTAACCTGCGCGTTGTTAATTCCACGGAGAACTATTTGGACCATAAGATCTTCGCTTACCCCCTTTACAATACGTAATCGCAATAAAGATCTACGCGCGTATTCGGCGTACGTCGAAAACCTATCAGAATTTGTGCTCATAACCTCGTAGAGTATATTCGCGTAATCTAGCTGATGCGGACACAATGACCTAAACTCTCTACAGAAATTGGACGACGAACGATCATTACTGGTCCATTCGTTTAACCAAATCTTGGCATCGCCCTTTAAATAATTAGCGACTCGCGATAAGCACTCAAAATCGTCCCAATTATTAATTTGCTTCGCCCTATTTACTTCACTACACCACACTTCAAAATCGTGCACAGCCGGATCAAAATTCGACACATAATAACCCTGCGGCTTCGTTCGGGTAATGGCAAGCAATGCTTCCGTAAACGCTTGAGCAGTGCTCGTGGACGCGTCGCTTTCCACTACAGGTACGCTACCGTGATCAGTTTGTAACGAATTTCGTGGCGAGTTGACTGTCGATTGCTCGATAGCAGACAGACGAGTCATAATCGCATCTAACGTACGTTTAATCGAATTACTACCACTGCGCGAACGAGATCTACCCGAAACTAATGAATACTCACTGTTACCGCGTGATATCCGCTCACGATTCTCCGAACACAGCCTGCGCGGTCGCCGAGAACGTTCAGTACTTCGACGCGATACTCGCTCGCGACGATTGTGCACACGTTTGTTACGACGCGATCTGCTGCGAGATCGTCTTTCACTAAAGGGAGAACCTACTGACCTACTACGCGAACGAGATAACCTTTTATCGTCAGATTCACTTCGCGATCTATGACGGCGGTGAGTTGCCCGTGACGGCCTATTGCGCGTTTGTTCGTTCCTCAACGATTTACCGCGGGACTGTCTATCTACACGGCTAGGAGTTCTACCCGATCGACTACGTGAACGCGAACGGCCCGATCGTGAACGCGGCATGACGATTTCAAATTAACGGCTGTTTGCTTATGAAGTGGTGTCGTAAGGATCTATCCCACTTCTGATTTTAGGTGAAAACAAACTTATTTATTAAAAAAAAAGACACAAAACCGAACACTTAACTTCTATTTATTAATAATTTGACAACTCGAACAATTATCACGAAATTAACCTTAACCACTAACTAAATAAGAAAAACACAAACATAAGAATTGCAATTTAAATTAACCAAGCAATCAACCGTTAATTTGAATATAAAAATAGTATACGCGCTCGTCATGAAACAACGACCTATCGTTTCGAAAGCCGAGAAGTAAATGAGCTCTGAGCGGGTAGGAAACTACTTTTATTAACGCTGTTGCATGACGTCACGAAACATATTAAAATTATCGAGATTATGCTGATAATAGTATTAATTATTTAAGCCATATAATTGTTCTATGTGTAATTTAAAAAGTTAAAATTAATTAAGGATAATAATTTTAATTTAGTTTGCTATTATTTAAAAAACAACTTACTAAGCAACACTATTGATATATACTTTTACAAATGAAAAATGAAAAATATTAATCTGATAAGCTGTCATTTTGATCTACACAGTATGAACTTACTACATCTGCCTGTCTGTTATGTTTATATTTATTATTTGATTTTATTATATTAATAACAGGATCCCATGACGATGGTAGTACCCAGCCATCTTCCCTATTGAAATTTGGATGTTTTTTTAATTTCTATGGCTTCTCGAATCATTCTAGGGCAATATCGGTTTTCTTTCGCCAGGATTCGAGGTCTATCGAAACGAATATAATGGCTTGGGCGGTCCTGGCTATGTTTGCAGACAGCAGATGTTGTATTGCGACGGTGCTTCACATCAGCTATGTGTTCTTTGACCGGGGTTCTAATGGATCGCTTTGTTTGTCCAATGTAAGAGAGCCCACAATCACAATCAAGCTTGTAAACTCCTGCATCTTGTAGAGGGATGTGGCACTTGACAGGTGGTAAGAACTGACTAATTTTCTTTGGCGGCTTGAAGTAGGTTTTAATTGAAGCTCGCTTTAGAATGTAGCCAATCTTGTCAGTGACTCCTTTCATGTATGGCAAGACTGCAGGGACGCGCTCGACTGTGGCTGGTTTCACTCGGTCACTGTGACGCAGGCGCGGCACTTGCAGCTTGTTGTCACGCAGAACTTGCTTGACATGTTGCAGTTCTCCGGCCAGGTGTTGCTCGTCACAGATCCCGCGCGCTCTCTGAAACAAAGATTTTCCCACGGTAGCTAACTGTGAAGGTGGGGAGATTCACCATTCAGGTACCTATCAGTATGGGTCTTCTTTCTATACACAGTATGACTCAAGGTGTTTTCTGGGTTACGTTTAACTAATACATCTAGGAAAGCTAAGGTATTGTCCAATTCTAATTCCATTGTAAATTGTATTTTAGGATTTATAGAATTAAGGTGTTCTAAGAATACAATTATTTTATCAGATGGTAATATTGTGAAAGTGTCATCTACATACCGCTTGTAGAAACGAGGGGTCACGGGTGATGTGTTCAGAGCAGTCTCCTCGAAGTCCTCCATGAAGATGTCGGCTACGACGGGGGAGACTGGCGAACCCATGGCCACTCCATCCACTTGCCTATAGAATTCACCATTCCACAGTAAATAGCCGGATGTTAGGCAGTGTTTTAAAAGTTCAATGTATTCTATTGACATGTTGTGATCTAGTAGCTTCCTAGATATTATTTCAATACAGTCTTCCACTGGTAGGCTGGTAAATAAGGACTGTACATCGAAACTAACCATTGTTTCATTGTCCATGAGTTTTAGGTGTTTAACTTCATTGACAAAATGGTAAGAGTCCTTTGTGAACGCTCTTGTTAATCCTCTGAGTGGTGAGAGTACTTTTGCTACTAGTTTAGTCAATTTGTAAGTCGGTGAGTCGATCTGACTCACAATTGGACGTAGCGGAGCGTTAGTCTTGTGTATTTTCGGAAGTCCATACAACTTAGGTGGTTTTGCACATGATGGAATAAGATTTTTAACATCAAGATTTAATGTGTCGGAGTGTTCCTTAATTAGCTTTTTTGTGTTATTTAAAACGGTGTTAGTTGGATCCGTTTTAACCTTTTGTACGTGCTCTCGTCCGACAAAAGTTGTTTAATTTTATCATTATAATCTGATGTATCCATCACAACGGTTGCATTTCCTTTGTCTGCGCGTAGAACGGTGATGTCTGACCTATTGCGTAGGTTCTTCATCGCTAAAAACTCTTGTTTATTGAGATTTGGTTTGGGCCTAGTACTACGACGTAATAAAGACGAAACATCTTGACGTATGGCCTCCATATCCTCAGTTTTCATATTGTTTTGGGCCAGGGCATCTTCAACTGCGCAAGTAATGTTTTCATAAGGAATGCGCGTAGGCGTTACAGCAAAATTCACACCTTTATTTAGTACCCGATTTTTTTTTTTTTATTTATTTGATTTTATTATATTAATACCAGGATCTCATGACGATGGTAGTACCCAGCCATCTTCCCTATTGAAATTTGGATGTTTTTTAATTTCTATGGCTTCTCGAATCATTCTAGGGCAATATCGGTTTTCTTTCGCCAGGATTCGAGGTCTATCGAAACGAATATAATGGCTTGGGCGGTCCTGGCTATGTTTGCAGACAGCAGATGTTGTATTGCGACGGTGCTTCACATCAGCTATGTGTTCTTTGACCCGGGTTCTAATGGATCGCTTTGTTTGTCCAATGTAAGAGAGCCCACAATCACAATCAAGCTTGTAAATTCCTGCATCTTGTAGAGGGATGTGGCACTTGACAGGTGGTAAGAACTGACTAATTTTCTATGGCGGCTTGAATGAAATATTTAAAGTTAAAAAATATTGTAATGTAATTGGTGCAATTTTCATTTTGTTAATTGTGGGTAGGCTGTCTGTAACAACTATACATTCAAGACATGTAACACCTCAGTCTCTCCCGTGACCATGGATGCTGTAAAGCATTCGAAACGTCGGGAACCAAAAATCAAAATAAATCCGCGAAATAATCCGAAAAGATAGTTTTATTTAATAATGTCAAACATTCGCGTAAATCTAAGAAAGTATTATGTGAACCAGTACGGACTGGAAACCGCAAACAAGATACGCCGGTTAGAAGATCTAAAGACAAAGCGCGCAAGATTATTAACATCGTTAACTTTCTTGAAGAGATGTCGTGATCATCGTCTCATTCCTACGTGTGTGAAAATATCGTCCAAAAAGAACATACGAGGAAGCGCTAAGATCGTAAACCAGGCAAGTTTTAAGTTGTTACGGACAGTTATTCGACAAAATCGCAATCTACGCAGAAACGACCGGGACATTGAACAGACGTCTAATATTGTTAAGACAGTATTGACACCATCTGATTTCAACGATTGCATTGGCACTTTAAATAAGCGTGAAACAACCAAATATAATCAGTGCAAAATTAAACATATTTTAAAATATCAAAAACTCGTTGAAAAATTAAACATCAAAAAGAAAAATAAAACCATAGAGTATAACGGAACGCGCCCGTCTACCACAGATACACACTCGTACAGACCTCTAGCTGTTGTCAATCTGTCAAAACAAACGTTGGACGAACCTACTATTCGGGTACTAAATAAAGGTTTGAATTTTGCTGTAACACCTACGCGCATTCCTTATGAAAACATTATTTGCGCAGTTGAAGATGCCCTGGCCCAAAACATTATGAAAACTGAGGATATGGAGGCCATACGTCAAGATGTTTCGTCTTTATTACGTCGTAGTACTAGGCCCAAACCAAATCTCAATAAACAAGAGTATTTAGCGTTGAAGAACCTACGCAATAGGTCAGACATCACCGTTCTACGCGCAGACAAAGGAAATGCAACCGTTGTGATGGATACATCAGATTATAATGATAAAATTAAACAACTTTTGTCGGACGAGAGCACGTACAAAAGGTTAAAACGGATCCAACTAACACCGTTTTAAATAACACAAAAAAGCTAATTAAGGAACACTCCGACACATTAAATCTTGATGTTAAAAATCTTATTCCATCATGTGCAAAACCACCTAAGTTGTATGGACTTCCGAAAATACACAAGACTAACGCTCCGCTACGTCCAATTGTGAGTCAGATCGACTCACCGACTTACAAATTGACTAAACTAGTAGCAAAAGTACTCTCACCACTCAGAGGATTAACAAGAGCGTTCACAAAGGACTCTTACCATTTTGTCAATGAAGTTAAACACCTAAAACTCATGGACAATGAAACAATGGTTAGTTTCGATGTACAGTCCTTATTTACCAGCCTACCAGTGGAAGACTGTATTGAAATAATATCTAGGAAGCTACTAGATCACAACATGTCAATAGAATACATTGAACTTTTAAAACACTGCCTAACATCCGGCTATTTACTGTGGAATGGTGAATTCTATAGGCAAGTGGATGTAGTGGCCATGGGTTCGCCAGTCTCCCCCGTCGTAGCCGACATCTTCATGGAGGACTTCGAGGAGACTGCTCTGAACACATCACCCGTGACCCCTCGTTTCTACAAGCGGTATGTAGATGACACTTTCACAATATTACCATCTGATAAAATAACTGTATTCTTAGAACACCTTAATTCTATAAATCCTAAAATACAATTTACAATGGAATTAGAATTGGACAATACCTTAGCTTTCCTAGATGTATTAGTTAAACGTAACCCAGAAAACACCTTGAGTCATACTGTGTATAGAAAGAAGACCCATACTGATAGGTACCTGAATGGTGAATCTCACCACCATCCTTCACAGTTAGCTACCGTGGGAAAATCTTTGTTTCAGAGAGCGCGCGGGATCTGTGACGAGCAACACCTGGCCGGAGAACTGCAACATGTCAAGCAAGTTCTGCGTGACAACAAGCTGCAAGTGCCGCTCCTGCGTCACAGTGACCGAGTGAAACCAGCCACAGTCGAGCGCGTCCC